GGGTGATGGTGGTGATGATCATGGTGATGGTGGTGGTGATGATGATGATGGTGATGGTGGTGATGATGGTGGTGATGATGATGATGGTGATGATGGTGGTGGTGATGGTGATGGTGATGGCGATGATGTTGGTGAGATATTTTTATAGGTCTTTACAGGTTGCAAAGACCTTTCCATCCATTGTTTTGTCTATATGCACAATAACCCTGTGCAGGGCTACTACAATTATGATCCCATTCTTTGATGAGAAAATGGAGGCCCAGGGAAATGCAGTGTCTTATCTGAGTTTACCCTGCTCACAAGTGATGGGGCCAGCAAGGTTCTCTGACTGCAGATCCCTGCCTTCCCTCAACGTTCTCAGCACATGACATTCACAAAGGCCCACTCAGTTGTTCCTGAAATTTCCCTGCAGGTTCAGCATCATGAGAGCAAGCTGGAACACTCCCAGTTCACGTCAGCCGATGGTGTCAATGAAGACCTTGCTCTCAATGACCAAATGATTGACATTCTGTCTTCAGAGGACCCCGGAAGCATGCTTCAAGCTTTAGAAGAGTAAGAATTCTCAATCATGCATATACTTACATATACTTGCTTGGATGTGATGAATGCTTTAACAGCACTGGCCTGAGAGCAAACACTGAGTACATTTCATTCATTCATTCATTCATTCATTCAGTTAATCATTCATTTGTTATTCAGTAGTCATCGTGGAACTACTGCTATGCTTAGTATTTGGGAAAAGGGATCAATAAGACATAGTTCATGCTATGAGCTAATGGGAAAAACAGACACATAAACAGAAGTGACCGTAAAAGTCTGATAAACACCATGCTAAAAGGAAAATCCAGACTAACTGAGCCATGAAGAGGAAGTAATTACTTCCAAGAGGGTGATGCAAATGCTTCTCAGAAGAGAGATTTTAACTTGTCCTTGAAGCATGGATGTAGGCTTTCCAAGTGGATTAAGAGAAGAAAGACTTCAGGCAGAGGGAAGAAAGGGCAGATGAAAGGATAGGAAATGAGCAAGATGCATTTGGTGAAGCAAAGTAGCTTGGTACTACTGATGTGTGGATTGGGGTATTGAGTACAGAGAAATAACGGAAGAGGCAGCTGGAGAGAGAGGCCAGGCCAGGCAGTGTGTTTGCTGAACTGAATTCCATTCTTTTTATTTATTTAACAAATACTTATAACGTACCACCTGTGTACAGCAGAACCTAGAGCCGGACGCAGTTCTGAACATTTCATGAATACGAACTCATAATCCTCTTAGCCACCCTACAGAGCAGGTATTGCTGTTCTTACCATCTTGTGGATGGGGACTTGAGAGAGGCTGCGGAGCTTTGTCCCAGGGTGCACACTAGTAAATGAGAGAGCCAGGCTCAAGCCCAGGCAGTCTGGCTGCAGGGTACATGCTCCCTATCAGGATGCTGCTGCACTGTTCAGGGCTTCTCATGGGGGTCCCGGTCCACGAGCCGACTCACTCGGCAAGGCTCATCAGCTTGGCCTTTCCTCCTGTCCTTTTGGCAAATATTTAAAGAGGGCTTCTTTATACGTTTCCTTTCTAAGTGTTCAGTTATCTTCTAAAATTCTGTCTTATCTTTTACCTCTTCTCAAACATATGATGCCTAATTATCTTAAAATCTCTGCAACTTTATTATTTTACCATGGCCTGTGCCTGTTGTCTGTTGTTGCTCTTAGTTTGTGATCTTATTTCCCAGTCTCCTCCTGTGCCTGGGTAGTTTTGATTGTGTGCCTGACAGTGTATGTGAACATTTAGGAAGACAGTCGAGCACTAGGATGAGATTATCCACTTCCAGGCAGCTAGGGGCATAATTGTGATTTACCTCCACCCAGTCAGAGACTGAGAGACTGAGATCACTCAGAGCAGGGCTTCAGGTCCTTTAAGGGCTTCTCTGTTTCTGGCTTATCTTTACTTTTAAGGCATTTTTACCAACCGAAGACTCTGGGACTTCATCAGGATGACCTCTCCTTGGAATCCCTGGACTTGAGTTTCTATCTCCCCAGTTCTATAGATCTGTTGAGAATTCTACAGAGTTTATCAGCCCTGGGCTGCTTCTTCTGGCATTTAGCAGGTGCCCTTCAGAACGGAGTGGCCCCAGATGAGGGGTTACCTACCTCTCTGAATTTATTTGTACTGCTAGGTCTTGACCTTGTCTTTTATTACTTCTTGTTAGTTCTCAGATGGTCTCAACCTAATTTTGCTTTTGCCTAGCTCTTCTAATTGTTTTCAATGTGATAGTTTTTCTAAATTACCTGGATCACTCTTAATAAGAACAGAACCCGTCTTTGTATAAGCCATATTCTAGACGATGAACAGGCATAGTCCCTGCCATGGGGGCAGCCTGTGAGAGAGATGGACAGGGACACAAGCAAGGGCCAAAATAGCACAGAGCATAGCACCACCGAGTGGTCCCTGGAGTTAGATCAGGTTTACATCTGGGTTGTGCTACCATGTGCCCTGGGTCAAGTTACTTAGGTGAAGACTCCGGGTGAGGCAGAGGCTAGGCTGTGGAGGGTTCTGGATGCCAGGCTCCACAGTGGGCACTGGAGACCCAGAGAGAGGCCTGTTAATATGGGCAGAGTCGTGTTCTTGAAGGCCAGTCTGGATACAAATGGAGAACGGCTTAGAAGGGTAAGTCCAGGGAGACTGTTGTAGGAGATGTGGATGTATGATGAGGGCAGGTGCTATAGGCTTGGGGAGGAGGGGGATATGCAGGAAGAGCCTACAAAACTTGGTCACTGATTGCCATGTGGCTGAATAGGTCTGCCCAGGGGGGTGTAGTTTGCACATTGCAGGGGAGGGAAAAACTCAGGATGCCTCCCTAGGGTTCTGGGTTCTGTTTACTTGTTTGAGTGGGAGAGGAGGGGGCATCCATCAGTTTTACTGCTTGGTAGATCTCTGGGTCTTCTGCCTGTAGAATGTCCACAGAGAGGAGGTATGAGAGGGGTAGGCCTTCATGAGAGCAGTGTGATGCTCAGTCTGGGGCCACGATCTTTGGAAGATCCATTTATACCAAATACCCATCTGAACACATAGGATTCTTAATTGGTTATATTAGGTTTTTATTTTTCCTTTTTCCTTTCTTTGCTTGCTTGTTATACTGATGATTATTAGCAATGGGACCACATGGGAACCCCTCAAACTGGATTCCATTTATGACAAACTTCTTCTGATTCTAGGTTCGGTATGCATAGTTTCACCTGCGCACTTCCCCCTGGGGACTAATTGCTGTCAATTTGGAGTCACACGATGCTGATAAGCTATAATGCCTTATATTTTTATACAATACCTTATATTTGTGCAGTGTTTAAAAATGCAGAATCTCTTTTCCACACGTTAATTTGGTCCCCATGCTAATGCTCTTTGGGAGGACATCTTATTTTTTAGTATTTGCCAGTTGAAGGATCTGATGCTGTTCTGGGGAAAGAGGTGTATCCATAGTCACACATCTAGTAAGTGACAGGACAGGACTGGAGGTTTCTCTGTGGAATCTCGGCCATGTTTGTTTTTCACAAATAGTCTCTGAGCCCCAGTTTCTTCATCTCTCGACTGGGGAGACCATAAGTGCTGGGGGATACTGTAAAGTTTAATGATATGACAGGGACTTGGTGGCAGAGTCCTCTCTGGGTCTTTCCTCAGAGCAGGGACTGACTTGAAGGGAGATGAGCAGATGGTAGAGAGACGCATCAAGTAGATCAGCCCTTCTTGGAGTCTTTCTCAAGAGCGGTTCAAACAGCAACTGAAAAAGGGGGAGCTTGGCAGCAAGATCGAGCAGCTCTGGTCCTGTCTCCCAGGAGCCTGGAAATGGTGTGCCATGGCGTGGAGAGAAGGACCCGAGAGAGCACCAGAAACAGAGAGCGCTGTTTCTACTTCCTTAGGAGTGCCTGGTCACTGGTCTGAGAGAAGAGCTCTCTTATGTCCGACTCATGGCACTTTATGAGCAGAGGGGTGTTTTAAGCACAGAGGGATTTCCATCCTGCCTAAGGGCTGCCCCTCCCCAGCCAAGTGCCATCGTGCCGTGTCAGGCCTTCAGCCACAAACGAGCAGGGCTGTCCGTGCACAGAGCTGGGCATCGGGCTCTGTTCATCCATTTCTGGGTCCAGGGTCATGCGGCTTGGCTAACTGAGCTTTGTGCAGCCATTCGTGTGTGGTCCTTCATTTTAGCTTTATCAGAATGCCAAGGGCAACAAATTAAAATTTGCCACACTACCCAAGAGGGAGGAGGGAGGATTGGATGGGCAGCGGGGAGAAAGGTGGCCGGTTACTGGCAGAGATTGTTCAATGTCTCTTATTTACATTAAATGGTAGAAGCAGGTGATTATCAAAGTATTTCCTAGCTGAAAGTCTGTTTTCTTCCAAAACGTGGAAACGAAAAGTGAATTGAAATGATTTGGCTTGTGTGATCAAAACCTAGATATTTAATTTGCAAGTAGATCATACCCCACAACCTCTGGCCAGAGGAATTAGGGCTGTAATTAGCATATGTATGTATGTTACACATGTGTGTGTTACTACACAATAGTACACACAATAGTAACACATAATAGTAACAGTGTATAATGTAAATGGTAATAGTACCAAATGGAAGGTATTAATCATCCTGTCTTTGTTGTTGGTTCAATAAGTGATGACGTATAAGAAGCACGGGCTTCCTGGAGCCCCACATTCTGTGAAATGAACAGGCTGCAATGTGCTTGCTGCTCCTGGTGTGTGAATGCCCTGAGGACATGGAGGTTACCAAGATTTTATTCTTGTAAATCACCTAGGAGCTCTGGAATTTTATATTTCTTTTTCCCTGGGCACCAGTCTTGTTTTGCCCGAAGAATGTTTAATATTGATTATTAAGCATGACCTGAGAGTGCTCAGCTGGAGAGCTGCATTTATCCTGTCCCCCATCTCCCCACTCCCCTGTCCCCTCCCCTGCTCCCCTCTCTGCTCCCCTCTTCACTCCCCTCCCAGCTCCCCTCCCCTCCTCCACTCCCCCATCCCAACATTCAGTGTTTATTGAATGCCTGTTCTGTTTCAGACTCCGTGGTTGAATGCTCATTTTAGAGATCCGGTGATTTTTTTTTTTTTTTAAGCACAGCATTGTCAGTTACTTTGAATCTTTCCATCTTGACTTACAGTCGGGCTTAGGAGCTCCCAGAAAGAAAATGTCACTCAGAATGTCAGGGGCTTAGGATGCATGGAAATCTGTGATTCTCTCCCCACTAAAAACAGCTTTTTTCTCTAGCAAATAATTTATCCTATTTATAATTCTTACGTGAAGTTTAACTGAGCTTCTAAATATGCCATTAGGTGTCTTGATTGCCGCCTCGTTTCTCAGACCCGTCGGAGTCCTAACCTTGCGCTCTCTTGCTGATTTATCTTTAACAAAGGCCATCTCCTTGGTTTGCCCTGTTGTTTATCTTTGACATCATTTCTTCATGGTCTATCTCTTACAGAGAGGATATGAGGGAGAGGTCTCTCCTGTGGTTTGTGTCAGGCTCCTAGATGGTTGTCATGATGGAGGTGGCTCAGCCCTGGGCATGCAGA